GACCCAAACCCAAACCCAAACCCAACCCAAACCCAAACCCAAACCCAAACCCAAACCCAAACCCAAACCCAAACCCAAACCCAAACCCAAACCCGGGCCCAAACCCAAACCCAAACCCAAACCCAAACCCAAACCCAAACCCAAACCCAAACCCAACCCAAACCCAAACCCAAACCCAAACCCAAACCCAAACCCAAACCCAAACCCAAACCCAAACCCAAACCCAAACCCAAACCCAAACCCAAACCCAAACCCAAACCCAAACCCAAACCCAAACCCAAACCCAAACCCAAACCACCCAAACCCAAACCCAAACCCCCCCCCAAACCCAAACCCAAACCCAAACCCAAACCCAAACCCAAACCCAAACCCAAACCCAAACCCAAACCCAAACCCAAACCCAAACCCAAACCCAAACCCAAACCCAAACCCAAACCCAAACCCAAACCCAAACCCAAACCCAAACCCAAACCCAAACCCAAACCCAAACCCAAACCCAAACCCAAACCCAAACCCAAACCCAAACCCAAACCCAAACCCAAACCCAAACCCAAACCCAAACCCAAACCCAAACCCAAGTGTCAAACAAGGAGATTCACTATCCCCATTAATTTTCGTCCTCGCACTAGATTTTATCCTTCAACAATTGTTTGATCTAGAAGGCTTCGACTACAAAATGAAATATGATAGTATAGGATTTACAATTAACAACTCAGCAAACATGGACGACACTGACTTCATAGCAAATACACAAGAGAGATTGATTGCACTATGGAACAGATTCAATAACAACATACTAGCAAAATATGGAATGGAATTGAATGAAAAGAAGACTGAATACTTCACAAACAGTGATAAAAAACACATCCTAATTGGAGAAACCAAGATTGAAACAAAACCTTGGATAAGAAAATTAGGGGACTTTGAAGATCAAGTAGGGAAACAAAGAACTACTCAAGCGATTGAGAGAGTCAAAGCAAAACTAGGAAATATCAAAACTTGGTTCTTCACAATAGAGCAAGCCATCAAAATAATCAACTCAGATATAATTCC